CAAAATCACTTGCCATAGTACTATCAACAATGACTGTCGATAACCGGTATTGATTGATTCGAAATGATCGGTGCACGGTGATCGATCGCGAAATTTGATCATCTGTAGGATAAATCGACTGCGAAATCATATATAAATAAATAAGAAATGGATGAGAACTAAATAATTTCGTATATGCTAAATCACTTCTGATCGAATGATATAATTTCAACTTGATAAAATCGCCAAAATTTGCCCCATATTGAATTCGAAAGGTGCAAGGACATATTAGTGGAGAGTAATATATGATTGCCGATGGTTCGTCAGCTACTAGATGGCTCCAACAAGCCTTTCGATCTCTAAGCGGTACGAAAATCGTCAGCAAAGGTCCGAAAATTGCAAAAATATGATAAAACGCCCTGAATTAAATCCAACAAGAGGCTTTGCAGTCTGCTACTGAAAAGAGAACAGCAAAAAGCAGACATTTTCAAACACATTTGCAGGAGTTGACAGCTTAAGTAAATTGCTTTCATCAGTGTAAGAATAGGACTACGCAGCTGAACTTTTGCGTCCTTAGTTGTTATTGGAAGAAGGAGAGAAGCTGAACAACGATTTTATGAATGTCGTTGACGTCGACATGGCACCACTCCGAAGGAAATCGCCTTTTATTCCAAACAATAATCATTCTCAAAAGTGAGCTAAAACCTCAGGACTCAGATTAGGGTCAACCTTCTATGGGAACTACGATCTAGTTTCAACTTAGAAGAGCCAGTGACTTAATCTGTGCTGTTAAAATGTCAGCGCAATAGAAACAACTCCGCAAAAAGAAGTCTACATTAAGTTGTTGGTGGTGTTCCAGATTTAATTTATTCCAGCTTTACTTGGTAGTTCCGAGAATTCATTATTTATTTAATCAAGTGCTATGTATTGCATTACTTAACACAATCTATAATGCCTGAAATAATGAGCATAGGCAATGAATAATTGATGTAAAAATAGCAACTCATGGAAAATAGTCTTCAAAAAAGTTATTCATTCTTGCTAAAGCACCAATGTACTTATCTCTTATGTATAGTAGTATTTTTGAAAAAACATCTTGTTAAAAGAAAGGAACATCAAGGAGGGAATGACGACCTAGTGCAGTGCACAGACTTCATTGTCTCATAGCGGGCAAATTTGCAGTGTCACATCCAGATCTCGGAAACCATCCATCACCACAGGATCTGTCAAATGGTAACAACCTTCTCCACAAAAAAAAGCAATAATAACTTGTTCATAGGCTTCGCCTTGCAAGTTTCGATCATATAAGATCAAGTACACATTCATCGTCTCAGAGAACTCTCAAATAAAATGCGAAGATATTGTCATAAGAATGATTGGAAGTACAGGATAAATGGGAAAGCCTTCAAAGCGAACTGAGCTTTCGAGTATGCGCCATGCATTAGGTTCAATTCATAGCATCATAGAGGTGTCTAAGCGCATATTTGGCCCATGCAATGATTGTGATGGCTTATCGTGAACGAAGTCAGTGTTTTTTATCCTTTCGGATAAATTTGCTACGAAGTTGCCCACCTTAGAGAGATGCAACTTAGTTAGTTTGGAAGGCGTGATCGAACCAATGGCTACATACGTATTGTAGTGAGTACATCTAAGCGATATGTTACGAGCACCTCATGGGGTTGATTAACGGCATAAATAGTCGGTTTTAGAGTTTCTACACCTTTAATAGATTCTAAACATATCTATTTCACACTTCCAATATACTTCCAACATATCCTACATATCTCATTGAGTCATCGGAAATGAAATCGCCTATCAGGTGACAAGTTGCGCTGGCGGCCGGTAGTGGTTGAAAATCGGTCAGAAAGAAGTGATTTGTATATCAATTTCTAGTTGACACTTAAAACACTCAGCATTCCATCGTTAGCAATCGCAATAATGGCTAGGTCTTAATCGGTGCTGCTGATTTCATTTGAATTTGAAGTATGCAAAGAACGTAGAAAGTTAATCGGACCGTAATGAAGACAGTACATTAATTTCATCAGAGGCCGAAAACGTGTTACTAAGAAAAAAAGACGGACGATGAAATAACAAGTCGACCGCTACACAGTAAATGTCGATGTTTTCGACGGTGCTGATATCATCTGACGAATCACAACAAAACGAAATTGGAATATCAGAATCGTGTCTACACGCTCACATCTGCTCTACTAGTACTCTAACCACTGAAAACTCTTCATTCATATTCCCAAGTTTAGTCACACTTTAAATATTAATGTGTAAAGCACTATTTATCAGCTGAAATCCTGCCCTTCAAATTTCACTACTTCAGCACTATGAATATCTTTAGACGAAAGCGAGAAAAATGCTCGAATCTACTAATGCGACGTGTGAAATAAAAGTTTTGAATAAATGATAAAGCTTTTCAACGTTAATCAATCTTTCGAGGATGGGCAACGCACTCGATCTCATTTATAGCGTCGTTGAGATAATTGAATGTATATTCATCACTTACTATAGCTTCCAAGAATCTACTGTTTTCCTACTGTTTTTCTATGCTAGCAGACAAACATGGTACAAGTTTAACGATCCCGCGAATGGGAGGCTTTTTCAGCGTGGGGTGTGGTGTCAAATGAAAGACATAGCATGTATTACAGGGGATTTCTAAGTCTAACTGTGTTACACACCTGTAGATATATGTAGAAAGCGAATTAGAATAGTTTTAGCTAAATATTACTTACAAAAATTAAAAGAGATGAATAACATAAAGAACGATGTTTCATTCTTTTCTATGACTTTAGCTTTGATACCTAAATACATAAGACACGAGTGTTAAGCAGAGTAACTCTATGAGATGATTGAATCGCTTTCAAAACTAGCCGGATTTTATTTGTAGAGCTAGAGGACATAGTGAAGCTACGACTATTGCTATTTCGATGTTGATAAATTTCATCGACGATAGACGTGCTTGAATCATCTGAAGCATGACGAGAGAGTATGAATACGTATGTTGATTCTCGTCCATGTAAACCAATTATAACGTTGGCAAAACGGCAATATTTTCGTTCGCTGACGACTAGAGGGAAAAGTATAGAGTGTGTTGAGTGCTGTTAGTTAATTATACGTCGCAAATAGTAGATGGTGGCACGGATAGCACGATAGATAAATTATGCTTGATACATATATTACGTTATTATAAGCCCTTTTAGATAAATTACGATCTCGGTCCTGCAGTGATATTATCGATTTTATCGTTATCAAGTTCCTATATATTTGAACAAAAGCAAACACTACTATTTAGAAATACAACATGCGAATATCCGGCCGGTAAATTCCGAAAAAATCTTCCAATGAATGATAATAATCTCGGCCGACGCCTCGAAGGCAGATCAACTTTTACCGATGTTTCCGTAGTTACTAGAAAATTTGTTTATGTTCGATTTTAATGCCTTGAAAGCCTCAACAAGGGCTATTGGCCACACAATTACATTAAGGGATAGAAAAGAAGCTCACGGCGTTGATCATTCTGATGAAGGATGCGCTATGCACTCGACTTCATTAAGCATCGTTAGAGATCGTTGAATGCATATCTGGCCTATACAACGATTCGCAGTGGCCTACCGGTTCATCGAGCCAGCTCTGCCATCATCCCAGACAGGTCTCGCTTCAATTTTCCGGACCGGGAACAATGGAAGGCTTGGTTAGCCTGGAGTGCGGGTTCGAACCCGTGTGTATTGCAGAGCGCCTCTAATCACCGCGCTACACTCTCCCTTACAAACCATACAATCACATTAGCTCTACATATTAAAGTGGAAGGTAAAAAATGGAGAAGAAACAAACCGTGCTGCAATTTCAACTCTTATGCGTACTTATCGCGGTGGTTAGACGCGACCTGCAAAAAAGCAGAAGATCGGTTACCGTGTTTTATCCCTCCTGGGTCGACAAACTAGTGTTAGACTACTCTGAGAAGTAAAAACACCACGTTAATACACCGGTAATCCACCGTAAATCATTGTTATAGGACAGATGTGCATTGAATCTCCTTAACAATGTCACAAATGGAGTCGAATGGACAGCGCATCCATCAGGGATTAATCGATTTAGGAACCTTTCACTCTAGTTTTTCGCTGAGCGGACTAGATTGGTCCAAAAAATCGGATATAGTCCATAAAAGGTTGTTTAAACCGTTTCTGATTTTGTGATTTGTGACAAAATCTGCACATAGGATCCCAATGTTCGATTTTGAGGTGCATACTGACTTTAATGTCTATTAACTGGTAAATCTGTATTAGTGCTTAGACATGGGCGGATACCATATTATGTCTGCAACTCATTTAATTAAATAAAGCCAATCGAGCTGTAAAGCAAATAGTAATTGCAATCTTATCAACCAACTTAAAGGTGATAAACAAACGGAAATTTATCCACTACGAGGTGAAGTTGTATCCGAACTCGTCGCCATTCCTTGAGGCCGCTAGATAAATTTGAAAAGCAAATCTAAAATATAAATCACGTAGGAACTATGTCTGTCATTAGCATTTTATTGCAAGTTCTGTTTCAAGGGTCTTTTAAGTTCATAATTCTTCAAGCTCTCTGCTTATTGACTAATCGGTTATCAGCAGTTATCATAAAATCACCACGATGATGGGCTTGCTAAAATCACCGAATTTAAGCAAATCGCAAAACGGAGTTCATATCTCTTTATTCTACTCCATTAACATAGCTGTTCTTATGAATATTACATTAAAGATATGCGATACAGAGGCAGTTTCCCGTATGCCATGTAAAACACAGACTTCATTATGAATGTCAAGCTAACTACATACATCTAATAGAATCTAAGCAAATACAAAAGACCGTACGATGAGAAATGAAACTTTCATGCACTACTGTTCGACATGGGAACGAGAAGTTTTGAATTTGCGACCAGAGTCAAATAGGACTTTTGAAAAGAAATTCTTAACACTAGCGGTTGTTTTTGGTTCCAAGCGTACGTATAACAAAGAGTTGGGTAGATGACGTCATGGGTGACAAAGAAATGACTTGTAATGACGAAAGTTGACAATTTGTTCCTTCATTAGCTTGATAAAGTCGTGAGGATGTAAGACGATTTCAAACTCACTACCATCACGAATCTGAAATCATTTTCAGTTCCAGCGATAATAATCGACAAAATTTAAAAGGAAAAACTGCTTTCACAAACTTCTTCGAGCCGCTTGAATAGCTGACCATTTTTCGAAAACGGATTCAAACGACGATTGTTCACCTCTGTGATTACCTGAAATGTTAATGCTATGAAGTTTGTGAGATAACTTAATAATCAAATTTTGACTTCAGAATTTTGTTCAAGTTGATGACAAGTTTTACCTGCCCAATTTCAATTCTTATTCCAATTTTAATCGCAAGATGTGCATACTAAACAATCAAAAAAAACAAACAAGGATACGCGTGCAGCGTAGTGGTCACAGGCGCCCTGCAACACATACGGGATCGATCCCGCCCGCAGGCTTACCAAGCCTTCCATCCCTTCCGCGGTCGGAAAACTGCTACCACACTTCTCTGGAAGGATAGCAGCATTGGCTCAATATATCGGCAGACCACCACGAGTCATTGCACAGCCCAGATATACATTCATTCACCTCTAACGATGTTTAATGAAGTCGAATGCATGGCGCATTCCTCAGGGATTGATCAACGTCGAGAGCTTTATCCTTTGTCCGTTATTAAACAAACAATAAAGCAGTGTTTCGGTTCATGACCTTTACATACAAATTGCTAACGACAAAAGTACCCACCTAATTTTAAAAAATCTCTAAATGGCGGAACATCCAAAAGCAATTATATAACTCACCACAGCTGTTTCCATCCCTGGTTTAAAAGGAGATTCCATAGAGACAGGTAAATGTCGGCGATCAGCTAAAGAGTCAGGAATAACGCTGGCAATCTGGAATGAATCAGAAATAGCTATCCTACTCCAAGAAACGAGTAGTCGAAATGTCTGTGTTGCGTGTTGAAGAAAGTCTACAGAATATATGTGTTTTCATTCCAAGACTACGATACTTTGGATAAGTTCACCACCGCACCTATTCTTTTCCACCTAATCTCACGGCTGCATGCTTCCGGCTATATGTCACTTCCAGGAATATGATATTTAATGGCTTTCATGGGTAAAACTATTTTTTCCTCAAAAAATATAAACATTAAATCCCGGAACAAAATGAGGAAGAGTCGGCTGCGATTGATTCTGTGAATGTTTTCAAATACTTTTATCATTTTACATTAATATCACATGACGATATGGCAACTTAACATAACCTTAAACAGATCGAACTGATTTGTTCAAAATGAAGAGTTTCCAAAGAGGCGATTTTAGCATAGCAATAATTGCAAATGTCGACGTACTGTAAATATTTGCATGAGACACTACAGAGGACATTCGATTAGGCTTTTTGAGAGGCATTTGCTGTCAAAGGTGACACTCTTTCCAAATGCTATCAAGAGACGATTTATCGAAAACCAGATTAAAAGCAAAAGGTTCCAACTAGAAACTCACTCGATTTTTGTTCTTATGCAGCTGAATGCCGATTTCCTTGTTCTTTGAGATTGGCTTCATTAAGCGGTATTTCTTTCCTAACGGAATCCGCTTCAATAGAAGATTTACGGGAGTGCCCGGAGTGGAAAGTGTGTAGAACAATTGTATAACGCTAGCGAAACCCTTTACACGTACGTTTTCCACCTGGAAGAACATTAAATGTAATATGTCTAAAAACGATCAAAAGCATTTTAAGGAGTCATCGATTTAATAAATGATGAAAGAAAAGATGTGATAACCTCAATGAGCTCGTCGCCAACGTTGAACATTAGACTTAATTGACGATCCCTTATCTCGGACCACCCTGCCACCCTAAACAATCGTATGCAGTTTTTCAATTCTTACTTATCATTACATAAAGAAAAAACCAATACTTTGACCCTAGATCCACCTACCAGACCCGTCCCTCAACTTGGACGAACATTACGTGCTCTATTAAGACCGACAGATTCAGCGCAACAGATCGCACCTTTAAATTCTGTATCATGATTTTTTTAAAAGCAGTCGTATAAACCAAGAAATAGACACTAACAGGCATGTTCAATTCTGAGCGCACATTAGCATAACCACTAGCAGAAATATCTTCAGGAGGGATCGAGTTCCACAGTCGTAGTGCACTTGACAGACTACTGCTGCAAGTTTATTGCTATAACAACTACAATAATAGTGTCCTTATCAAGAAGTACTTGTTTAGACCTCCATTTTTTAGCCTTAATAATATATATAGCCTTAATATAGGTGAGTAACGGCTCAATAGTTCTTGTAGCTTCACAAAGAAGCATAACGATTAGTAATGAGCCTACTAACTTGATTTATAGTATAGCATCAACGCTTACGATGAACAACATAAATGTCGATAAGCACATTTCACACAACTTGCGTCACTGCTCAATAAAAGCTGAACTCTAAAATCTTTGAGTACTACATCCACTTACCACAAGGAAGTAGTCGACAATGTTGAGTCCATTGGTGAAGATGACATATTCGATAAAGATGCTCCACGGCTTAGTGGGTTATAATATCCTTTCGGAATGTCGTACCAATTCGCTTCCTTTTCGTCATCACAGCTCACATGAGACCGAGCGCGCAGTACATCATAAGTGGTCTAAAAATGATGCTGCTTCCTACAATTTACTTTCAGTGAGAAATATGAACAATTACTTCCTCGCGCATCTCATCACTGGTGGCCAAAGTAAGAGGCCTATATGGGAAAACCTGATGAGCACGAGGTGGAAGTGGAGGCCGTAGTGCTTGCGGAGAATGAATATGAGACGTCCTCGAAAGCAAAATTTTCAGTAAAAAATTTGTAGTTTACGATATTCATCCGTTAACCTGTTGAGGCTGTGTGCATCACGACAGCGTACTTTATGGCGCGGTGAAGTTTCCCTTGACATGTCAACCTTAAAAACACAGTTCCATATCTAATGGGCTATTCCTAGTACATTCATGTTGCATAATCAAACAATTATATAAATATAAATATCAGATTTGACTCAGAATAGACGAAGCCCTGTAGATGGAACATACTTGATGAGGAATGTAGGTATCGGGTACCATCGAAGTCTCTGACAGCTCGCAGTTCTACAATTAATCGTTAACTCCGTTAGCGACTCATCTTTGGTTTCGTTATCACAAGTGAAGTCTAGTCAAGATTTGAAGCTTCTTTAACCTTTTCGTTATGTTTCTGAATGTCAAAACCACGCATCGCATTAAACCGTAGCAGTCATAGTTCCCAACATCGACATTCCATTAACCTGGGAAGTCTAAATGTGTTGTTTCCTTTTCAAACAACCGCGAGGTTGTTATTCAACCCACGTTTACTTCAAGAAAAGGCGATTCTGCCGCAACGTCAGCTACCGTTGTGTTGTATGTGTTCTATTTGCATGGAAGTTGTCATAGTGTCACTACTGCACTTGCTACTACTGTTATCAGTGCACATTCATGCACCCCATGCAAAAACAAAATCAAAAGTCAAAAAAGGTTTTTAACAGGCTAATTTGCTCATTCCCTTTTTCATTACACTTTTACTTCACTGCATCAGCTAGATATTCTTGATACTTTAAGTGGTAAAATATCGCAGTGAATTTTTCAATAAAAAAATTAGCTCTACCCTGAGCGATGAATTTAAACAACCATTCCATTTGAGCCATTCGTACAAAGTTTGTCTGGCAAAAAAAAATTCACCTTAAATCGTGGAGTTGGAATGTAGATGTTTGATGCTTCGACAAGAATCGACAAACGATGTAGTGTCGCCGTTAGGCAGTCCACCCACTCCAAGCACACCTCACTAAAATTCCTCAAAAGGACTAACTTGACCGCCTGTCGAAAGCACTTCAACTACTGCATGCTCAAAAAATCATTAATATTGGTATTCAAGATAACAATTTTCAACCATGTGAACGTCTTGGAATTTTTCACGTATTAAGTTCGACTGCTGCTTGAGCATTAAGTCTACTTTACGAATGTCGTAGTGCTGGTCGAGTCGATTCCCTTTGTCACCTCAAAGATAGCCGAGTTAAGCCATTACCAAGCGGATTAGAGGACATCTGTGATGATGGGGTCGAACCAGAACTTTATTTCCTGATGAGCTCCACCACTAACCACTCCGCTATCCACCTTTATATCTTATAGTTAAATCAAACACTGGTAGCTCAGCACGGCCTGCTCTGTGGGAAATGAGTATGCTAATCGGTAGCTTGCGAAACGCTTAAAGGCTTACAGCAACGACGCTGAGATATGAACTAAACTCAGAACCTGAAGTGGGCCTAGAGCACACGATTACTCTTCCAAAGGGCTCAAGTGCTACGCACCACACCAACCGAGGCCGTAGCTTTGCTTTTCCCTCTGTCGTTTCTACTCTACTAGTTTTACCACCAATGATTGCTAATAGCATTAACAGAGTAGAAACGTGGTTGAAGAAAGGGTAAAGCAAGGGCCTCGGTCAACGTGGCCTATAGCACGTGAGCCCAGGCAAGGCTAATCGTGGGATGGAAGCCCACTTCACGCTTGCCTCGTACCTCAGCATCGCTGTGGTTGTACCTCATATAATACTCTGCCATGAAAGAAAAAGATTAGATAAATAAGGAGAAGTTAAAATTCTTACAGAGCCGTAGTGAGAGTTACCCAGCTTCCTCCAAGCAAATGTACAGGATACAAAAGATAAACACAAAATTACACCCAGTCACCTATAAAAGAATGCGACTACGTGTATGCGACGATTCAATCCAGAACAGAAAGACAGAGAGTTCATCCCCTAGATCTATCCATACTTTGGTTAGCACATGTTCGATTTTGTGCCACATTCAATTTCTTGTTCAATAATGCCACATAGCCCCGCAAATAGTTGGGCATGAGCTTTCTCAGATGAGGAAGATCTACTGCATATATGGAAATAAATACTCTCGCACATGAACCATGTAGTGAGAGAATAATCATTTCGAGAACCCTTACATGAAGAACAGTCATACTGAGAAGTAGGACTAAGTGACTGAAAGACCCCTTGCTTATAATCATAAAAGCGAAATTTATCGAGGCAACTTAATGAACTGACAGTTTCTCTATGAGATTTCTTGTGGAGTTTTCATATTACATAGATTCCCGCAGCTCACAGCATTCTATCTCTGCTAAGACTTCTAGTGGATTCCACTTTTGCAGCTTTCAGACTAACAATGCGCAGTTTTCTATTAAAACGATAAAAAGGAAAAAGCTCTGGGCATTGATCAATCCCTTTAAGGAAGCGCCATGCATTCGATTTCATTAAGTATCGTTCGAGGTGATTGAATGCCTATCTGGCCTTTACAATGACTCGCGGTGGCCTACCGATGTATCGAACCAGTGCTGCTATCCTCCCAGACAAGTCTGGTACTAATTTGCTGATCCCGGAGGAATGGAAAGCTTGGTGGGCCATGGGCACTGGGATCGATTCCACGTGTGTGTGGTAGTGGCACTTTCAACCACTGCGCCACAGGTTTCTAATATTTTTAAAAAAACCATTTACAGCGGAACTTCTTCTACCAACATCACTCTTCGTATTTCTAATTAGCTTACGAAATGTAGTAATTTAATGTCGCATGCTTGAATACTTCTGCTATAGACGAGGCACGAGAGAATTCTTTCCATTAGAGGATGGCAATTAGTGAAGAGGAAATCTAACGAGAATGTGTTTTCTAACATGAGAATTGTGTAAGGAATCCATTCCTATCAAAAAAAAAATCATGCAAAAAACGAAAGAAAAAGTTAGGTGAAAGAAATACTCTGGTCAGCACCTAAATTCGGTGAAAGGTAGGTGATGTTCTAGAAATCCATGAGCGATAGTGAGTGCTAAGGAAAAACTATTGACAGTGTTGCACACTCATCCCATAGCCCGTAAATTTAAACCTATGCTTTTTTGCTCTCATTTACTCAGTTAAGGATTTCATGTGATACATGGAAATATTTATCCTTTAACACTCAAGTCACAGTACAATTTTTGTTTAAATTTTTGAATAAATTGCTATTTTCCACTACAAACTCCTATGATGTTCCAAATAGAGAACTCTCTTACGGAAGAGTTCGAGAAATCAATACCTTATCAATAATATGTCTCTCTATTTTCACTTTGAATGCACCTTCCATCACTGAATCAGCATTCTCATCCCAAATTCATTAACTACATACCATTTTACCCTACTAATTCTGCATTACTTCGGATATTTCGAGTTGGAAGATATGTCGAATTCATGAGGACACAGTTCTGGCAGCACCACAGTGATCGGAATATTCACATATTCGCACGTCCTTCTACTCTAACGATGAATTCACTTACGGGCTTATTGCGACCAATTCAATCGCTTCCAATTCTTTCAGTCCAACAACGAACGCACGAGGGTCGGAACCCACTTCAATCACGTAAGTAGCGAATAGCAGATCGAGGACCTAATTTAAAAATTAATTTATCCACTATCTTCACACAATATTTAAACCGACTTCATTTTCACACTTTTCCATTAAGTTATTCTTTCACTTATAAGATAGAATGTGTAAATCTATACTGAGCATCGAGAAAGCATAAAATAATAAAAATACGTATAAGAAACAAGGAAGTGAGGAAAACAAAAACAACAATGGATAGGTACAAGCTGGCACTAAAAAAAAGTCACACATTGTATGGGATACCAGAAAACCTGAGCATGCAAAATTCCTTATTCAAAACCTACTAGAACACCATAATAAACAGTGCAAATGTGACGCGTTCCATCGTTTCATTAAAGTTCTTCCATGGATGGCAGTTACGAACTGAACGTTGTTCTGCTAGGAGATGAATCGCGGAAATTGAAATCGTGAACATTTACAGGGTACGCACATTTTTGCAATATGTCGCCTTTTTATAACCACATCTCCCAGCGGTTTACCAACTCAGCGTGACGAGGAGGTGTTCCTGGGTCTCCCAAGGAGAAGGAGTCCGGCGTTTTGATCAGGAAGCCTAGCTAAGAGTAAACCAACACCAGGAACCACCACTGTCCTGGAATCAAAGTCGCATTGTGGCAAATATCTCTTTGAACCACGAGGGCCGCGACTTCCTATCGCACTGAAGACCTGGAGCAAACTTTGGCCAGGCTGACCTCGGAATTCCAGGGAACCACAATGACTTAGCCAGCAAATCCGAAAAATGGAGGTTATGCTAGGGCACGCACAACTAGTGAGGACGGGTCGTTCAAGTACCAAGTAAATATGTTTTATAGACACTTGATAAGCCGATCAATGTTAGTTAACCAACATAATACGTAAATACCTAGATTAATTTTTAAAACTAAGCATAGAAGATCGATAATGTATATGAAAATATAACAGCACACCATCATCTTGAAAAAAGTAGAATATTTACTCATTACACTGATTTGTTTCCTAAATCTACCACTTTTAGGAATTGTAGTAATCATTTACATTGGAGGAATAAATCGGCAAACTTGTTTAGTGAAACGATAGTCTAACAAACTTAACATAGGGATGTAAGGCTTAGTTGGCTGGTGAAAGGTTCGAAACAGAGCATTGAGCGCCTTGAACGGCATCTCTACCTTTGAACCATATACGCGACCGAAATCGTTTTACAATATGGAAAATAATGCATACGATCAAAAACTGATCGGAGTTAAACAAATCATTAAAATAAAAATAGCTCGAATGATGAACGTGAAGATTAAAAAGATACCAGATTGCTATTGCTACTATGCAGAAAGAAACTGTAACAAGGAGAATGTGTACGTCGAAGGTAAGAAGAATTATAAGAATGCCCTAATATTGTGATTGAACAAAAGATTCTAAAGAAAAAAGCAAACCATTCAATATGAAGGTATCTGAGATCACAAGAACTTTTTCCGTTTCTTTGGTTCCTCCTTCTCCCGATTGGCATGTCAAGCAAAAATAAAGTGAATGAAGAGGTATTAGAAAAAATGCAGATAAATTTCCTTTTTGTCATCAATCTAACGTCAAAAAAGCCGGAAACTCAAACATTTTAACAGTAAAACTGATGCTGAAGATGACTGCTCGCCATTAAAAAAACGGTTGGATCGATCTGAATAAAACTCAGGTCTTGTTATGTTCCATTTCAGAATTGGATTCAGTGGATGTCAAACATGATGGGGATGAACCTAATAAGAGATAAAAGCAAACGCAATTTCGTTTTTCAAAAACAAAAAATAAAAATAGAATAACAACGAAGAAAAACAATCCGTACTGATACCACAGTTGAAAAAAAGCTACAGTTAAAATTACCAATTTCGGTATGTCAACGAACAAGAACGAAAGGTAATGGTATTTTCATTGATATCGTTTAATTCTAAACCTATAAGGGATCTATGAGGCAAAGAAAAGTCTGAAGTGAGAGATTAGCTGACCTTAAACGGTTGATGTAAGCTCACAGCTTCTTCAGTGTGATACCACTCAAGAATCGGGATCTTATCGTCGTGTACGCATAACACAACATAACAAGCATCACCGTACTCGACTTTCTGAAAGCGAGAAAACCATCATCGTGTTGGAAATCCAAGGTGTTGAAGCAGAGACAATAATAATTAGAAATATAGCGCTGCAGGTACCGATGACCTAGCAGAAATCAGTACCTAATTAGTTTACAATAAAGTAGGGTGTGTGCTACGTCTCTGTATAAGGGAACTCCATTTGATCCATCGCTTTCAACTGAGAATAATGTTTTATTTTCGACAGAAGTAGACCAAAGTTGTAAAAAAATATTCCACTAGCCAAATAGGGCTCAAAATAGAGTAGGTGTGATTGAAAGACAAATTCTAACTTTCCTGTCATTTCTTACGGTAAGTAAACGTAAGTGAATACGTCGAATGAAACAAACGAAGATTCTGTTTCATTTACATGGAAAAATATAGCATATAAAGAACATAAAGGATAAGGTGTTCGACATTGACCAGTCTCCAAGGGAATCATTAGACTTCACCAGGTATCATAGAGGAGACCGAACGCAAATCTGGCGTACAAAATTGCTTGCTGTAGCCCTTACTTAACCTTTTTTCAGCCGGACCAAACAAATATAAAACTGCCTCGGTCAAAGCTGGTAGGAGGCAACACTCGCGGATTACAGACGACGACAGTGGATAGGATGAAGGATAAAGCTCTCAGCCCTGATCCCTGAGGAATGCACCATGCATTCGACTTCATTAAGTATCGTTGGAGGTGACTGAATACATATCTGGCCTTTACGATGACTCACTGTGGCTCACCAATGTATCGAGCCAGTGCTGTTATACTCCCAGACAAGTCTGGTACCAATTTTCCAACCCCGGAGGATGCCTCTGACCACTGCGCTACACGGGACCCACGGCTGTGAAACTGGATAAAAAAGGAAGGTCCGCGACAAGCCATCGAGACTATTTCTTGCTCTATTCTCACAACACCAGTACAACCCAATCCACTGCCGATATTCATGCTCTCATGAGAGTTTGACATCCCCTCAAATTGTTTTAGCACAACGCCCCTGCCATGAAAAACGATTTTTAACAATAAAAAAGGTCGCGGCAAGACATGCGAAGTGCCTTATATCACAATTTACGTACAAGTAGAAAGACAGCTCCTGGTATCTCTCTAGCGGTGATTAACAATTAAGACCTGAGTACCAATGAAGCACAAATGATGGTTAAGGAGCTTAACGAAGTGTGGAGAAGAATAAAACTACGAATAAATCGGAAGAAACAATGGAAATAAAACAAAAATAATGTGCAAAGAAATTCAAGGTTGAGCGTGCTAGGAGGCATAACTCTTCCTGACGGTGCGCGCTCGTTATTAGAATTGGGACCGAGTTTCTCACCATCTGAACCCACTTCTAAGGTAACCTTGCGTAGGATCGCATGTAGTTTACATGAACTTCAAGACAGACTCCGCAAAAGAGGTAGGGATAAAGAGCTAAATAGGTGCGAACAACAAAAAGTAAGGGCAATACCAGCACCACCATTTCCTCAACCGTTCTTTAGACAACAAGAGCCCATTAATGAAGTTGATGTTAAATTTCGGGTTTACGAATGAAACTTTCAAAGTCCTTAATCACTATCGCGCTAAAAGATACTGCACCAACCTCACTGAAATACAAAAACGTGGTATGCGGGAGGTACGAGAGCAGATAAGATCAAAAAACATAAGACTATCTGTTAGTGATAAGGGTGGAGAGTTCGTTGTAATTCCCCAACAGTTGGATGTTGAGATAACGGAACAGCACCTTAAGGATGCTTCTCTTCATCGTCCGTCGTCTGAGAAGGAATTTAAAAGTCAATACCGAAAGCTAAACAACGAATGGGTTAAAGTGGCAAGAGCGGCTGGGTTAAAACCATCAGTTATCTCTCATCTCAAAACTGACTTACCAACATGTCCCGTCCTGTACTTACTTATCAAAACCCATAAGTTAGTATTCAGCGATGATCTCGTGTCTACCGATCCATCGTTATTTAAGGTTAGACCTATTATTAGCTGCGTGGACGGGGCCAACAGATAGAATAACGTGGTTAATAACCCTAATACTTACTCAGCTATTGAAGTACATTCCAGCTTATTTAACGAACACCCAAATGTTCCTGGATCGTCTACGTAACACGCGACCCAACAGCGCGTACGTGGTGGAGTCCTTCAACGTCACTGCCCTCTATACGAACGTGTCGAATGACTCCGCTATGCAAGCCATAAACGACCTCCTTATACAACACGAAGGAGCAATAAGGCTTCTCGATTCAGCAGTTGATGACACTCTTAAAGGAGTGCCTAAACTGCTCAATCTTCAGATGGTCCGGAAAGTATTACGCACAAATGAGAGGGCTGGCAATAGGACAACCACTGGCACCAAGTCCTGCCATTGCATTTATGTCTAAGGTGGAAGCGCCAGTAATCGAAATCGGTCCGTTACTCTACTGTAGATATATAGATGACTGCTTGGTCATTTGCTCAACACAAGAAGAAGTTGACAGATGTTTCGAGTTGTTGAACACACAGTCAGAGTATATTAAATTCACCTGAGAGAAACCAAAAGAAAACTGGCTTCCATTTCTGAACGAACAAATAAACCTATCAGAAAACGGCTACATTACGAAATGGTATCGAAAGCCAAGTAGTAAAAACATCGTGGTTCATTACCTTTCCTCTCATCCCTCTCACACGAAAAGGGCGCTTGTGAGAAACATGTATCGAACAGCTACCAGCGTGTGCACAGGAAGACAACAGAGAGAGGAGTCCAGGAATTTGGCGCAGCAAATAGCCATTTTTTAATGGCTACGAAACTGTAGCTCGAGATAGGTGCAAGGAAAACCACAGGTACCCCAACGATAACTCTAGCGACAATAAGGTTTCGTTTACACTGCCCTTCATTTCAAATGAAGTAAGTGCAGCTAAAAACGCTGTTTAAGAAGGGCCAGTCTAGAGAATTCGGTAACGATAATCGAAATACCACCGAGTAATCTAAGACGCCAGCTAGTTCGTAACCGCCTATACGAAAGTCTATGTGCAACGCAAAATTGCATGATTTGCCCTAATGGTAGAGACGGTGACTGCATGAGATCGGGTACAGTCTACCTGATCTCTTGTAAAGCGTACGGGGACGAATACGTTGGCGAAACGGCTAGACCACTCTGCGTACGTATAAAAGAGCACCTAGTCGGCAAACGTAAGCCAAGCACTCCACTAGGTACGCATAGCACGCAGAAACATAACGGAGAAAATTTTGAAGTAAGGGTTCCGATCCCTGCGCAAGAATCGAGAACACAAGCACGCAAAACTCTAGAGGCATTCTGGATTAATTCCAAGAATCCGAAAATGAACCGCAGGAAGGAATGCTTCGTTATCACGCGTGATATTGGACAGTATATAAACCTGTTATTCTGATGGGAGGGGCACATTACGCTTCCATGTGAATTCTGTGCGGTCGGTCTTCACGCGATATACTCAGTGGAAGACTCATAGAAAGCGGTGAGTGTGCAAAGACTCTGTGTTCAATGTGATTGAAATCTTCGTTTAGCGTTTACTCTGTTTGGTTGTGGAGGTGTTTGGCCGAGTAGATTGCTGTCAACTTGACCCTTCCAGGCTCTGAGGAAGGCGAAATCCGCCGAAATGTCAGCTTAAAACAAAAATAAAACGTAAATAAAGAAATAAAATAGCACCTCGTGTTTGCTGAACAGAAGCAGAAAGATATATTCAATTAATGCCGAGGCTAATAGAAAGTCGGACTTGAGAGTTACAACAAAAATTTTGTTCTTTCAATATAAAGACGGCATCTTATGTGTAATTTAAGGCAATCAGTGGACATAGAAAACGAAATAAAAGATGAATTGTTCGGCATGGGTGCAATACAGAACATATTCGGGCAACTCAGGGAAGCCACCGACCAACTGACGAACCCAAAATTCCAGTTCTTGACAGATATCTTGCCTTGGAGATCCACAGGAAATTACAAAGAAAACGACACGTGGATCGAGTAATTAAGTAGTAAGAAGTGTTGTCAACAGATAGAAGAGAAGAACATTAGAGTGGATCCTAAAAGGATTTGTATACTTGGGAGATCATCTAGACGATGAGGGAAAGTGCTAGATGTGGCTCACATCATTCACCATCTCCAAGCGATCTATGGAAGAAACCTCCATGGATAACGATTGCTAGAAAACTAAAACAAAGAACAGTGAGCTTTGTATGACATGTGAAAGAGAGTCATGCAATTATCTTCGTATCCAAATGGCCATGGCTAAATTGCTTCCGCATTCCAAATCATTCGGTCTTTGGAACGTCATACACCAGGAGATTACCTCGTTTCAACGAAATCGACTCAACTTCATGCGGAGCAATAGGATTCATAGAAAAGTTTCAATTTCTTCTTGCTTTATAAAGGAAACAACAATTTCAGAAAAGTTCAAACTTTAAGCAAAAATAATGAAGGAAAATAATTCACGAAAATCGACTGCAGGATTATATATATATAAAACGCATTTGGAGTTAAGATAATCCTTTGGGATGCGCCACACATTTTTGTAGTTCCCAGAGGCCAATGAATCTACAACGGCCCAATATAATGACAGCGCGTGCGCATACCAATGTAACAAAACAGTGTTTTTCCGTGTTTCCAGACAAATATGGTAGCAATTTTCCGACTCCTGAGGGATTAGGGCTAGGTTATTGCAAGGCGCTGTGTCGAACCAACGACCGACATTTTCCATATATATATATATATATATATATATATATGTATATATATATATGTGTATAAGGGTAGGTGTGGCGCAGTGGTCGTAGGCGCCCCTCAACACACCCCGCTCCCATGTCCCACCAAGACTTCCTACCGGGTTGGCAAATTGGTACCAGACTTGTCTGAAAAGTTAACGGGAAGACAGCAGCACTGGCTCGATACATCGGTAGGCCACTGCAAGTCATTCAGTGAAGGCCAGACATGCATTCAATCACCTTCAAACAATGAGGTCGAATGCATGCCGTATCTCTCAGTGATTGATCGACGCCGAGTTTCATATGTATGTGTAAAGAAATACGACAGAAAATAATACTGTACCAATAAAAATGCTAGCATATAAACGCATTCCACGTCAGTCATTAAGTAATGTGATTTGATAAATAAACGCTCCAGTGACTAATCCATCTTATTCGCTATTGTTCTGTTGTGCCCGTTAATCACTTCAAATTCATGTAGACAAGGAAATGAAAACAAGGAACTAAAATCTCTACAAAACGGATAAATCAGAAAATGCTTCGTATAGTTAGAGCTTTCATAAAACTTCCTAATCCCACAGGATTCGCATTGAGTATTTTCACCTTCATACAACTAATAACATGAGACGACTTTGGCAAGTTTACGAAGTCAATGAACAATCGACAAATAATGTTATAACAACTGGTGTAGAATATTATACCATCAAGGAGAAGTTTGAAAAATTAATATTTGACGTGAAACATGTTTTTGTAAAGAATATCAGAATATTCTGGATGACAACAAAAACTGACAAATTACTTATGAAACTGTGGTCAAATTTTCCTCCTTAGATTCTTTTCTCGATAGATAAGCGTCGTTCAGTAAAACGAGAGCTTGGAATAGATGAACAAATTGAGATTTCCGTCTATGTGCTTTTCTTCAGGTGAATGAAGAAGAAACCGCTTTTTTTTAAGATGCCTTTCGTTGACAGAACCCAACTGTTTCTTGACTCTTAAGTTTTTAAAACTCCTAACTTCTCGAGCCTAAAACTCTTCTGCTGCTTTTTTCGATAACCGAGAAAAAAATCAGAACCAATTAAAGAATTTCTCAGCAAATAAGAAGATGAAAAATTCTTCTAAAGACCTATTTAATGGGCATGGACGAGAAAAAGCTGACCGAATCTCATAAATTGAAGGATATCCGATCGAGTAACGTTGTTACACATCGTATATTGAAATTTTCGATAAAGTCAGTTCAGTTAGACTAGGAGCAAATAGAGGTCAGAACTATCTCACTTTATTGTTTCTTTTTAGGATGGAAACTTCTGCGATCGCCAAGCTGCTAATAAAAAAGACCCCTCGAACAAAAACATGGAAAACAACACGAAAAAAGCGGGATGTTTACAAAAAGATATACAAGTAACTGATCAATTCACTGGCAAAAATCTCAGAAAAATCTCGTGCCAAAAAAGTACGGTGAGTAGAATCACTTGCTAAGAACTCCCCAGTTGTTTTTCATGCCACTCAAAGCTCACGACTTGCTATAAACCAAACACCACTTTATGTGACACAACCAATTAGCGGCAAAAATTTGTGAGATTCTGTAGAAAATTAAGGAACTAAAGTTGAAAACATGAAAATTCCTACATTTTGGTTTGCAAAAGACTTCTGTGTCAGCGAAGTTGGCTTAGACTTCTTTGAAAACCGTCATTTAAGAAAAGGAGAACTGTTGTTGTACCCAACTTCGAAAGTGAAGAAAATTCTGGCGGAAATTTTGGAAAGCTACGTAACGCAATTTAGCAACAAAGATGTAAATTTATAGGATTTTGTATAGCAAATAAGTACACATTTTTTTAAATATTACATGTTTAGGTGACATATAGATTTTTCTCATAATATCCATGATATGTGCTTCAGCGCGACCTTCGTCACGTGAAGGACAAGTCAGTTAACTTCAGTGTCACACATAACAACTTCACGTAGCGGATACGAAATTAAATGCGGTCGAAGAGCGACCATATATTCCCGATTTACTCAGTCCGCTTTGCTCTGTACTGATTTACATCTTTCTGAGTAAGCAAAAACTCCACTGTTCATTGTACGCTCCCATTAGCACAGCATGGAGACTTGTGAATATCTTCTTATCAAGCCATTAAAAATAAATGGACCTCTTGTGAAAAATGTTATTCTCTGTTTTCCATCAATGAGCAAAATCGACTGAGAAGCGTGAAAGACCGACAGGTACAAATGAAAAGCTTACCGCTACAGGCTTGAACCACTCTATGATTAATAGGACTACGAACGACGAATTTGACACACATGATGGTTTACCAACAAAATGACAAGTCTCATGTAGCAATTCCCAAGACCGACTTTTTACTAACCTCGGCATTGATTCACTGTTTTTCTTCGACAAAGCAAACACGAGGTTGATATTATTGAATTTATTAGCATACAATAGCTGACGTTTAGGTGGTTTCGCCTTCTTCAGAGACTGGAAAGGTCAAACTGACATGCAGTCTACTAAGCCAAACACTTTCATAACTTTAGCTGACAAGATTTAAACACATACCGGCTCATCTCACGAATACCCAAGTGTTTCTAGATCGCCTGCGTAAAGCGCATTTCAACAGCGTACGTTATGGAGTGCTTCGACATTGCCGCCCTTTACACTAACGTGTCGAATGACCCCACAATGCAAGCTATCCGCGAGCTTCTTGAGCAACACGAAGGAGTAATAAGCATGTATAGCCTCTCGATTGAGCTCATGGTCCCTCCTAAATGTGGGCCTAAACTGCTCGATCTTCAGATGGTCAGGAAATATTGTGCACAAAATAGAGGGTTGGCAATGGGACAGCAACTGGCACAAACCGTTGCCGTTGTCCTTATGTCTGAGGTGGAAGCACCAGTAATAGATCTAAAGAAATTACTCTACCGTAGGTATATGGATAATTGTTTTGTCATCTGCTCTACACAAGAGGAGATGGACAAATGCTTTGAGTTATTGAACGAACAGTCAGAGTACTTAAAATTCATCCTTGAGAAACCGAAAAAAAACTGGCTTACATTTCTAAACGTTCAAACCAACCTATCCGAAAATGGCTACAACACAAAATGGTATCGAAAGCCAAACAGTAAGAATATAGTGGTTCATTACCTCTCCTCTCATCCCTCACACACTAAAAGGGCGCTTATAAGAAATATGTTTCGAACCGCGACCAGTGTGTGCACAGGTAAAGAGCAAAAGGATGAATCCTTGGAGCAGGCGCCGCAAATAGCGATTTCGAATAGCTACGAAACTGTAGGTCCTCGGCATAGGCATAGCGGAAAAACCAGGTCTCGAGCGAGAATAGTTCTCCGTTCATCTCGCCCTTTATTTTGAACAAAATAAGTGCATCTATAAAACATTGCTTAAGAACGGCCGGTCCAGAGAATTCGGTAAGAGTGACAGAAATACCACCAGACACTATAAGACGCCAGCTGGTTCGTAGCCACCTATATGATCGCCTGGGCACAGTGAAAAACTGCATAATTTGCTCTAACGGTAGAGACGGTGATTGCATGAGTTCGGGTACAGTCTATCTGATCTCTTGTAAAGCGTGTGAAGACGAGTACGTTGACGAAACCGGTAGACCGCTCTGCGCCCGCTTAAAAGAACGCCTAGTCGGTAAGCCTAAATTGAAACCAAACACTCCACTAGACGAGCATAAGACACAGAAACATAGCGGAGAAGACTTTGAATTAGAAGTCACTATAGGAATCTAAGACATCAGCGCGTAAAACTCATGAAGCGTCTTGGGATCTGACACAGGCACATTCCTCGCCCATGTATTACTCTGCGTGGCTCGTCCCCACCAATTGATTGCAATACTTGCAAAGAATAAAGCGGTGGGTGTTTAAAAAATTGTTTATTCTGAAAACGCAAATTTATGCGCTAAGCTTTATCTGCTAAGGGTATGAATGTGTTTGGCTGAGTAGATTGCATGGCAATCTGACTTTCCAGGCTCTGAAGAAGGCGAAAGCGCCGAAACCTCAGATAGTGTTTGCTAACATATTCTATAATACCGACCTCGTGATTGCCTATCGAAGAAAAGCAGAAAATGATAGAGGATAGAGCTCTCGATGTTGACCAATCCATGAGAGATGCGCCATGCATTCGACGTCATCATTCGTCGTTAGAGGTGAGAGAATGTCCTATACAATGACTTGCGATATGCTACGGATGTATCGAGTCAATACTACTATCCTCCTCGACAAGTCTATTACTAAATTTCCGACCCCGGAGCGGTGGAAGACTTAATGAACTGGGGTGTGGTTTAGAGGTAGCGAATTGAAGCACTGCGTTTCATGTTACCTCCAACCACTGAACTATACGCATCTCGTCCTCTAATATAAACGAGAAACTATAAGACGCCTCCTTAGCAATAAAATAAGACAAAAATCATACTGA